GAGAAGTACACCATTAATTAAACTTTAAGAAATAGGTTGCCACTGCAGGGATGCAATATTAAATGACCTCTGAACTCCTATTAATGAACTTTAACCTGTAAAGAAAGCAGTGATACAGATATTAATGGCTACCCTGCCATTTTACATCAATAACTAAATGTCTTATCAAACTGGTGTGTTATCTCAGTTTCGCCGTGTTATCTCATGGTGTTACACTCAAGAGTTATCTCTTAACGCTAATCATTATGGTTAAATAGCCTCACTCTCCTCGTTTATCAGCCGTGTTACTACACGCTGGGCTAATCAGCTAAATCCTCTACATAGTGTAATATTCCATCTCCTCATGTACTAACAGCCTTTCAAGTGTTGCCATTAAATGTTTTGGAAGCTTAAGGTAACTAATCAAAGCTCCTTCTATCATGGTGCCTTTTACTAAAATAAAATGAGATAGAATTTAATCTCCTACTTTTCTGCACTGACTGGGCTAATGAAGCTGGACATACAGTGAAATGAAATATTAGTTCCGAAATGTCCTAGTTTGTGTCGAGTGGACGTTAAACCCCATTTCTCTCTCTCTCTCTCTATATCACCATGAAAAATAAATATCTATATTTCTGGTTTCTCTAGTGTGAATTTACTTTGTTGAAACTGCCGATGATTATAGGTTAAGTTAAGACAGGTAGGGTTAGATATTCAGAATATTATTACCACTGTTTTCATCTAGCAGACGCACAAAACAGATGGCAATAGTCAAATCATATAGACTCGACAGCTTACTAATGTCGTAACAACCAACGAGAAACCCATCATTCTACCCATAAATACACCTAGAACTGTCTGAAATGGCGTTGAATTCCTAACTTGTGAGTGAGTTCACTGTTAAAAAAACAATACGAGTTGTAGCTAATTCCCATTTCAACCCCTCAATCAGTTATTTCCCCGAATTAGTTTATCTTTGTTAAAACTTTTGGCATTGATTTCACGGAGGATAAATACCTCTCCACATATTTAACATGACTTTCATGGTCGTTGATAGAACACCGGAATTCCTTCTTCAATCAACAATTTTAAAGGGATCAGACCACAATATCTAAATAAATAGGCTCAATACAGCTCAGTGAAAGTTTTAATAATTTTAAAGGGATCAGACCACAATATCTAAATAAATAGGCTCAATACAGCTCAGTGAAAGTTTGAATAATTTTAAAGGGATCAGACCACAATATCTAAATAAATATGCTCACTACAGCTCAGTGAAAGTTTGAATAATTTTAAAGGGATCAGACTACAATATCTAAATATATAGGCTCAATACAGCTCAGTGAAAGTTTGAATAATTTTAAAGGGATCAGACCACAATATCTAAATAAATAAGCTCACTACAGCTCAGTGAAAGTTTGAATAATTTTAAAGGGATCAGACCACAATATCTAAATATATAAGCTCAATACAGCTCAGTGAAAGTTTGAAAAATTTGTTGGCATTCATGCACTGTTTATTCTGGCTGTTGTGTTGAGCAGTTCTCTAACATTAATTTTCATCATGGTTACCTTTTTGTCAGTTGTGTCGGACAGGGTGCCTGGCATAGAGCAGTGCCCTGTTGCTTGGATGAGACGAAAAAGCAATTTCCCCTCATAGTACACTGCATGAGGTACAAGACAAAAAGCATGTCGATCATCATTAGCCAGGTTTGTGCAGAAACCTTATTTCATTTCATTTTAAGGATCTCTTACTTCAATCTGATTAAAACACGGATCCTATTTCATTTAGTTTTTTATCGTTCAATATTTCATTTTACTTGTCTTTACTACACTAGGATCTGGAAGATTTCTTAACATTGACGTGTTCTGGATGATGCTAGGGATTAGCCATTGAAACGGTCAGTTACGGCGAACTTTTGGCGTAATCCACTAGAAACATCAATGCGGATTGGTTAATCAAATCTCCTACGTCGTAGGGTCAAAAGCCGCTCATATGACCTCTGATGCGACCTCCCAGTACAACTGGTCAGATCTTCATGTAGTAGAGGTCATCGAAAGTATAAAAAAACGAAACGAAATATAAATCTGTATTATAATCAGATTGCTCCAACTTCAATCATTTTATGAAAGCCAATATTGGTTTAAAGTCTAGCATGTGTGTACTCCTTTAAATTGTAAAACCAATTTTCATCGACTTAAGCCTTAAGGGAATTTCGACAAAATAAATAAACTGGCCACTTGCACAGAGCCAGGCAGGTTTAGTGCCTATCAAAACAAACCACGAGGAAAATTAAATCTGGTTTATTTATTATTGAAGTCAATGAAGCGGAAACATAGCGGGGGTAAAATAATCAGCCAAGTCCTCAATTTCTGTTTATTTCCTCAGTTTCAGTTGTAATCAGCCTCGTAATTACAACGAAAAATGAGAAATTTATTCAAAGGGGTGTTTTTTTTGCGATGAAGACATATTTATTATTTTGCGATATATTTTCAGGGAGCATCTTGGGATGTGTTAAGTTTTAGGTAAATGATATGCATAGTATCTTATAAACATGTGGTTTTATCAAAACGTATCATAGGATCGTAGTTTAACGTCTCCGCAACACAATTATCTATTTTAAGACAACAAAAATTTTATTTTTATTTTTTCTATGGTTACCTGTGGTCACCTGTGATAAATGCTAGGGTGAAGAATTTTGCCTAGACAGCTGTTTTTGTGCCTAATGTGGAGAACTTTGCCTAGACAGTTGTTTTATTTCTCGCTCCTCTTCATAGAATTCCGTCAAGGGTTCTTTAACGTGCACCCCAATGTGTACACATGTGGACCATGACTTTTCATTTCGTCAGAATGTCAAAACACACTTTCTTTGTCAGTCTGGCATTCACTGCCCATTACAAGGGTGAATCATCATTAAAGTACAGTCGGAGTACACCATAGTACATAGTTTTACAAATTTGTTTTATTTTTATCCGAAAGGTTTGTCATCTCAAGATTTATCCAGTATTCTGTTGGGAGGGGGATTCCCACCATGATCAATCATGATGTCTATTTAAGTCCATTGTGTGCTGTATCGTATAACATGTATGCCAACCATTTTACTTTAAAAATGTTTCAGGCTTTGGTCATTTAAAAAAACTAGAAAAAGCTAAGATACCAAGCCAAACCAGGCTATCTGTGACAACAAATTTCAAACCCAGGACTTCTTGATGTCTGTTTAAGGTTATTGCGTGCTGTATTGTAATGGTTAGACTATGGTCATTTAAAAAAAACTATTAAAAAATACAAAGATACCAAACCAAACCAGAGAGAGAGGGAGAGATGGGGTTTAACGTCCACTCAACACAAACTAGGTCATTTCAGGACTAACATATGATATGGTTTAATTTTATTTCAATAATTCGCTTGCACGTAGGGGTCTTTAGTAGTGGGAGGAAACTGGAGGACCTGGAGAAAACCCACAAGGTTGGACAGGCGACAAGCCAAACCAGTTATCAAGGCTAACTGTCACAACCCAGACATTTTATCCATGGACCTACAGGACCGCGTAACCATGATTCGTACCACTTGCCATGTGAATTCAACTTCAATAATTTATAATAAAGTAGAACATCTAACCCAAAGTTTTTTTTAAAAAAAACTTGAAACACAATATTTTGATAAACCACATATTGCACCATCTCACAATCTACACAAATCTCAACATAAATATTTTATAAATATTTCCTGAAAAACTCTTCCAACCTATATTTTGATTAAATCTCGTGCACTACAGCAATAAACACATGGAATTTATATAATCGGGGAGGAGGTTAACCATGGCTTTAATCTGACAATATTTATACGCACTTGAACGAGAAATAATTCCATGTGGTGAGCGAAATAGTTTGTGGGTTGTTTTCATCTAAAGCTAACTGATTGTTTATCGTTGAACAATTTTGAAATGTATTTCCATTTTATGCATGGTTTCAATCCCCGGTTGTACGTGACAAGGAGTAGGGTCGCCTGTCCAAACTCGTGGGTTTTCTCCGGGTCCTCCGGTTTCCTCCCACTGCTAAAGACCCCTATGCGCAAACGAATTATTGAAATAAAATTAAACCATATGTTAGTCCCGAAATGACCTAGTTTGTGTTGAGTGGATGTTAAACCCCATTTCTCTCTCTCTTTCTCTCTCCATTTTATGCAAAAGAATGAGTACACAATGTCTGCTGTAAGAGGTTGATATATAATTATGTGTATAGATGGGTGTATGTCTTTGTCTACTGGTATGTGTAAAGATGGGTGTATGTCTCATGTATGTGTATGTCTCATGACATGTGTATAAATGGGTGTATGTCTCATGATGTGTATAGATGGGTGTATGTCTCATGTATGTGTATGTCTCATCTTTATGTGTATAGATGGGTGTATGTCTCATGACATGTGTATGGGTGGGTGTATGTCTCATGACGTGTATAGATGGGTGTATGTCTCATGACGTGTATAGATGGGTGTATGCTTCATGATGTGTATAGATTTGTGTATAGATGGGTGTATGCCTCATGATGTGTATAGATGGGTGTATGTTTCATTAAATGTGTATACCTGGATGTATGTTTCATAGATGGGTGTTTTATTAAACCCTGTAAGGTATAAAGTGTATGTCTCATGGATATGAAACCATAGGCGTACGAGTTGGGGGGGCTGGGGGGGGGGGGGGGGGCGACCGTCCCCCCATTTTGGGCACCAAATGCTGTGAAAATTTTGGCACACAGTTGTATAAAAAATATTGTGTTCTTGAATGTGTCCAATTTAACAGCGAATTTATTATTATTATGTAACATACTAAGAACCTAACTACATTTTTGGGGCACCAACCACCACCACCCCCCCCTAGTCAAAAATTTCCCCGTACGCCTATGTATGAAACAGTTATATCTTGAATATGATTGTAACTTTAGTTAATCTCGTTTATTAAATATAATCTGTCATATTTATTCAATATTTAACAATAATTTAAATTTTGTTTTCTATTGTTTCAGAATGAACTCTCACAGAATCTACAAACACTGTCGGAGAAAGCCAAGTCAGGTACAGAATTTATACAGAGATTGAAAGCCATGGCAGAAAAAATAAATGTAAGTTTTTATATTTTTGTTGGTCAACATAATCACCATAATCATTATCATCATAATCATCAACACCATCATCATCATAGAAATTTCCAGACATAAATCTCATAAAATATATCAAGAGGCCAGAACCCATTTCTTTGATTTTGTTATCTCAAGAAAATTAAAATGAAATTAGACATGCTGTAATTATAGAAATCATTTAAGATAGAAAACATTTCTATAGAATATTTATTAAAGATGAACAACAATTACATGTCAATCAGTTTCAATATTTGATCTGATAACTTTAAACATAAAACTGAACAAATATTTGTAAAAATGTTGTGTTCATTGAAGAGAGAGAGAGTGAGAGAGAGAGAGAGAGTGAGAGAGAGAGGAGAGAGAGCGAGAGAGTATAACGTCCACCTGACACAAACTAACATTGGTTCAATTTTATTTCAATAATTAGCTTGCGCGTAGGGATCTTTAGCAGTTTGAGGAGACCAGACAAATCCACGAGATTGGACAGGTGACCCTACTTCTTGTCACATACAACCGGGAAATCGAAACCACGCCAGTTGACTCATGGACAGACTTTATGATACAGCGTGCACACGCTAACCATGTTAGCAGAGACGTAAAACAAAAGCCCGTTCACGAGTTTTAGTTTTTACTGTAGGAATATGAAGTAAGTTTTTATCAGCGGGTTCATACATAGTTTATACAGTGTTAAAAGTTCATTAAGATACTGTGGGGAGCAGCCATTATTTAGACAATTAAAAGTTAAAATTCCAATCTTAAAATGAATTTGTTGATAAACTGGTAGCCAATGAAAGTTTTGAAGTACTGGAGTAATGTGTTCAGATTGTTTTAAGAGACAACTTGTCTGTGCAGTGGTGTTTTGGCCAAATTCCAACTGGTTTGGTTTTCTTTGATTGTATTATAGCTGTGTAAATCATGATTATTGACAGTAAAGTTATATTAAAGTGTTCAGATGGATGCATCCATAAAAGCAGTATTTCCATTCAGTGTGTATATGGTAGAAAAAAAAAGAAGTTTTGTTTGGTCCAATGGCAGAGGCCTCCTGCTTAAAGGTCGATGATTTGCTGTGCTTGGTCCAATGGCAGGGGTACGATCGCCCTCCCATCTCCCGCTTAAAGGACATTGATTAATTAAATCAGTTATTGGGTGTAAAAACAATTTTGGTGGCTAAAAGGTTGCCAAACTAAATTAAACTACCCCCTACCCCATCCTTAAATACTACTATAAAAGAACTCTGAAGATCCTTATTTATATACCTGTTGTTGTTTTTGACAATCAGAATTCTACAGGTGATAAAAATAGATTAATAAACCCACTAATCCTAGAGATGTTTATATCTGACCTTTTATTCTAATATCTTCTCTCAAACCTTAATTACTGCCTATCAGGAGTTTGAAGGGATTTTTCAGTCTCCATGGTATAATTACTGTCTAATCGAGACCTGTGAGAGATTGTCCATTCCCCTGGAAGCTAGGGGGATTACGTCATGTTACAAAGAGCTGACAAGACAAGAAAGGTTACAGAGCTTACAAATAGATAATCACCAAGGTTGCATCTACTCATGTAAACTTACTTCCAGACTTCTAAAGGCCAAGACTTAGATCTTTGTTTGGTTTTATCAACATCATAAACTCAGTGTTATTGGAATGTTTTTCATTGTGAATATCAGTAGATATTATAAAAGAGGGGAACTATTTTGATCTCCTAGGAATCTAAAATTTTAAATCCTTCAGTCAACCATCTAAGGCTCTCTGGAAAGGGTTTATTTGCCTTATTGTTACACGTCTACAAGGGTTTACAGCTTATAGTAAAACTGTTGAATGTTGACAGGAAATATACAAGAAACTTCTAGTATATAAAGAAATCTAGTCTTCTATCATGAAATTATAGGCCTGGCAAGGATGAGCAATCTAGTCCTTCAGATGGAACAAAAAAGGTCATGCACATAAAGGAACCCTTGGCAGTTGAAATTCAAAGAATATTAGATAGAAATTTGAAATTTCCCTCAGAGTACATTGCATTTTGTATGTCCGTCTTCATAAGCCTGGTAGGGGATCACGTGGCTAAGTGAGTAAGACGCTGGCTCTCTAGCCTGGAGGTCGGGTGTTCGATCCCTGCATTGGCCGAGAAAGTTCATCCAGATTTTCCGGCGTGGTTCACCCTTGTCAGTGATGCAGGACGGAGGGCCTGACAAGGACAGCTGTCTAGTCGTTCGGATGAGACAAAAAACCGAGGTCCCGTGTATACATTAGAATGCACGTAAAAGATCCCTTGGCAGTTGGAATTTGATATAAGAGTAGGCGATAGTGCCGCTGCCCGCGCAAAATTTCCCTCATAGCACACTGTATGGCTTATGCCCGTCTTCATTAGCCCAGCATAAGAGCAGAACAGTAGGACGTTAAACCCCATTTCATTTCATTTCATTTCATTTCATAAGCCTGGTTGGTGCAGAAAAGTCGGACGTTAAATCAGATTTCATTTCGTTTCTCATGAAACCAGATATCACATGATTCTGCTGTATTGGTCTGATTGATATTTTTGATGGTTGAAGTAAGAAAGTACATGAGAAAAGCATTTATAAATTTATGATTAATAAAAGTTTCTATATATACATAATATATAAACGGTCGCCTGTCCAACCTCGTGGGTTTTCTCCGGGTCCTCCGGTTTCCTCCTTCTGCTAAAGACCCCTACGCGTAAGCGAATTATTGAAATAAAATTAAACCATGTGTTAGTCCCGAAATGACCTAGTTTGTGTTGAGTGGAGGTTAAACCCTCTCTCTCTCTCTCTCTCAGAATATGTCAAGACAACATTGTTTATACATTGTAACATTTTATAACTTTTATAAAAGTTCCAAGTACTCCTACACCTTTCTGCGATATATACGTTATTGTTTATAAGATGTCATAACCTAAGTTCCTACCTAGTCCTACCTGTCTGCGATATATACGTTATAGATATATAGACAGCAGTGTTTATAAGACGTCATAACAACAGGTAGATTATACCTGATTGATAGTTTGTCATTAACCTGTCATAACATACAGGTAACTTCAATCTTAATACTCTTTCTATTTAAAGAATCATCTAATACTCTTATTCATCAAAACATAGAGTTTAATATCTTAGTTTATCTATCGAGGCAGCTTCGCTACAACCGCTCTTATTTCTTTCCAACCTCAGGAGATCTTTATTGTGCTGCTAATGGTGAGAGAGAGAGAGAGAAATGGGGTTTAACGTCCACTCGACACAAACCAGGTCATTTCGGGACTAACATATGTTTTTTTTAAATTTTTATTTCAATAATTAGCTTGCGCGTAGGGGTCTTTAGCAGTGGGAGGAAACCGGAGGACCCGGAGAAAACCCACGAGGTTGGACAGGCGACCCTACTTGTCACGTACAACCGGGGATTCGAAACCACGCCAGTCGACTCATTGACAGACTTTATGACACAGCGCGCGCACGCTAACCATTCAGCCATCCAACCCCCCGCTGCTAATGGTATAATACAGGTTCTTGGGGTTTTTTTTTTGTCCCATCCGAAAGATTAGAAAGATTTTAATATGTTACATGTATTTTGAGATGTTGGGTCTTAATGTTACCTGATTCAGTGTATTTTAAAATGTTAGTTTTTTTTGTCCAATCTGAAAGATTAGAAGGGTTTTAATATGTTAGCTAGTTACATGTATTTTGAGATGTTGGGACTGTGAAATATTAGCTAATTCTGCATATTTTTAAGTGTTGGGACTGTGAAATGTTAGCTAATTCTGTGTATTTTTAAGTGTTGGAACTATGATATGTTACCCAATTCTGTGTATTTTAAAATGTAGGTGCTTTAATATGCTTGCTAATTCTACGTATTTTTAAGTGTTAGGTCGTTGATATGTTACCCAATTCTGTGTATTTTAAAATGTAGGGTATTTTGAAGTTTTACCTAATTCTGTGTATTTTAAAATGTTGGGTCTTTAATATGTTAGCTAGTTAAGTGTATTTTGAAGTGTTACCTAGTTCTGTCTATTTTGAAGTGTTATATATATATATAATATTTAGATGTAACATATGTACCTCATTACGTTATAATAATACATGTAATTACAGTTTTAACAGTCGGTGCAATTCTTGGCAGGGAAACAAAAAATGGAATAGAACACATTTACTACTAATTATTTCTAAAATGGAATCCTCGGGTGAAGAGATATCAGACTGTAGTATCATCATTGTAAATCATTCAAAGTTGTCATCATTATTCATCATTGTAATCATCATCATTGTAATCATCATGATTTCTCATTGTAAACAGTGACCATCATTGTAATGATTATTCATCATTGTAAACCCTATCCATCATTGCCAACATCATTATCAATCATTGTAATCATTCACCATTAATTATTCTAATCATTATCACCAATCATTGTAATCATCAACATTCACCATTCACTATTACAATCATCATCATTTATCATTGTAATTAACAACAATATCATGGTCACCATAATATTTTTGTATACTAATACTTTTACTTGTACACCAGTAATACCGTTCTGAAAACAACTATTAATATTATCATAATTCTTAATTTTATGATCACATGGCATCATCAGCATCATCAACATCAACATCATCAGCATCATCAGCATCATCAACATCATCAATATCAGTATCATCAACATCATCAGCATCATCATCATCAACATCATCAACATCAGCATCATCATCATCAACATCAGTATCATCAGCAACGTGGTCCACACCCTTGTCTGTCATTCCTCATCTTTACTGTGGTTTAAGCTGGTTATGTTATCATCATTATGTTTGCTGGGTTTAAATTCCATGTGCATTACATGTGCAGAGAAACAGACATTAGGCATTATATAAACAGATATAATTGTTGGATGAATCTTAAAATAACACATCACAAATTTATTCTGTATCAAACTACCATTTACAGGAAGCATAAATCTGTGATAGGAAATTTAAC